TGCTATGAAAACTAGTTAAAAATCAATCCTGGGTGATATGAAGCAGACTGCTGATGGTCTGAAGCTAGAAATTCCATGGCTTTTAGGCATCAACTAGCAATGGATCAGTGAAATATGTCATGCTCACCATCTGCAAAATAGTCTTGTTACTAATGTAAAAATAAAATCTTCAGACTTGACTTTTTAACTGGTGTGCACAGAAAGACTAGAAGACTGGTCAAGTCAAGATTATTCCTCAAGTGAAAATTACCTTCAGTAAACCAGCCTCCCGTTTCATAGGAGAGAGGAAAGCAACTGGTTCAAACCCTAAATTACACTGCTGTCATCACGTATCGTATCGCAGCAAATCTCAGTCCACCTGTCCCAGGTATGTGGTTCACCGCCCAGCTCCCACATCACGCAGGGGTAGCCCAATCACTCCCACTTCAACTAAACAATTTTCTTTGTTAATTCTGATAAAAGTACTGAGTGTCTTTACATAAAGGGTTGCACTGGGTGCTCAAATAAGGGAAAATGAACTAGACAGGTTTGAAGCAATGAAAATAACTACAACACAAGTAGAATCTGAAAAGTTCAGGTGTGAATCATATGTTAGTTTGGACTTCTTTTCTCCTTCACAAGAGTGCAGGGTAACTGCTATTAAGCATGTGGCATCACTGAGAGCTTGCCGCTGACCAAATAGCCACAACAGACTTATTACCAAATGTCACTGCTCGACATATGGTGGAAACAGCCTTTTCCAATATTATCATACTCCAACCCCTGTGCATCAAGTGAGGATCAGCTGTGCTTTCTCTTAAAATCTTTCTTCATTTGCTATCTCACCTGACCACAAGAATAACCACCTCCCAATAGCATCATTTACCCTCTGGAGATCTCTGCACCAAAGGTCTCTATTTAACATCCTACTTAACACTTCAACACCAGATATGTCTTAATTGTTTATTTGTTTTAATCCTTAAACAGAGTAGAGTGGGAGGGCAATTATGGAGGACAGTGTGCTCTTGGTTCCCAGCTGTATGGGAACAAGGAAGCACAGGATTATGGGATAGTCACATGTAACTATTAGGGTGGGCTCTGCTTAGGGTAGAATTCGAAACCATTGCCTACCGAGTAAAGAACTGAAAATAACCTAGGAACTGAACAATTAGACCAAACAACCTTGAAACCTATCTCTGTTTGTCTTCCAGTTACAAAAATCAGTGCATACTCATTTTTAAACATTTATATTGCTGTATAAGGTAAAGAATCAATATAATCTGAAATTTTTCATATTTTTGAACAACTCTGAGTAAAGGCTGAGTAAATGGACTGATAATCTCTCCAATTTGTAGTTTAGGGGCACTGTTACTCATTAGGAACAGATAATTAACTGAATACTCAGGTCTAGAGCATTTTGATAATGGTTAATGGTGGACACATGTATAGAAATCAAAGCATTAACAATAAACAAAATACTGTACCCTCCACATTTAAAATGTTAGAGGGTACTGTAGTTTCACAGGTTTAAAAATGCCTTATATAGCAACCTAATAAATAATCAGAGTAGAAACTGAGCATCGCTTGAAGCAGAGAAAATGTAGAGGTTTATTGTAGGTCAACTGGCTACAGGTGTAAATGGTTTTTTGATTTACACAGGTAGGAAAAGATGATCACAAAAAAGGCACAGAGTGGGAAAAACAATCTACAACACGGAGTAGGAAGTTGGTGCTTTCCACGTGAAGTTGGTAACAGCTACTTCAATACGTATTTCACATTTTTTACATTCCAATTTTGGAGAACCACTGAACAAAAAGACAAAAGAGGTGTCCTGCTCAGCCCGTCCCTATAAAAGCCTCTTTGTCAATAAAGATTGGCTTCCACAAGCTGCACATGTTATCATTACTCACAACGATCAGGAAGCAAGGCTACAGTCGTGACAGAGTGAATTCTGTTTCCCATCCTGCCTCGTTCTCTCAGAGCTCTGGGAACACATAGATCGATACTCTTCAGCATGAGAATTTTGCAGGGAAATTTTCCCTTCCAGCAAACAGCAACAAAAGAGCCTTAAGCACACCCTGTCACTTTCAGTTTAAGAGAAAGTGCACTAATAAACTATTACCCATGGGTCATCTTTGACAACAGGCAATACTATGCCAGCTCTTATTAAAGACTATTCATATCACTGCCCCCAAAATTTCCTTTAAAATTACCATCTTTTGTATCCATGTAACAGGATGTCAGTTTTAAAAGTGCCAGAGAGAGATAGGACCTGTCATCATAGTTAATTTTCAGGACTACTTCAACACCAGGACAGCTGACCCCCAAGGGTATATCTTTGGTTAGCAATATTTAGTTGGCGGAAAAACAAGAAATTTCAATCATCTATATTAGATTTCAAATAAAATAGCAAGCAAAATATTATCTGTTAGTATTAAATATAGATTCTAAAATCTGTTGAATAAAATAAAACTGTCATAACTATCAAAATACATTTCTGCAGTGTGGGCAGACTTTGGATAACACATTTAAAGTTCCTATTATATTTGAAACCTGCCTTACTAATATAAAGCCTAAAATTAAATATTAAATGAAAGGACTTTCTATAAAAAATAATGTAGCGGCAACATTTTCCATGAAATTTAAGAATCTTCTTCCCATATTTTAATGAAATAATGCAGTTACCTTCAAGCAAAGAACAGCAAGCTCTGGTAAAATAATAAAATCTACTTCTTAATTAACATAGCAAAGGAGAACTGGGGGTGCAACTCTGTAGAGAATTCATCCAGCACTCATGAGCGCTGGCTTCCTTGTAAAGCACCATCTCCAAAATAAGTAAAATAAAATAAAAGAAAGACATCTAATAATGACAAAATAGTTCTCCTTTTGAATGAAGGCAAAAAAGAAATCCCTGTGCAAAAGAAAGAACTACGTCCATATAGAAAGGACCTATATAGAAGTATCAGCACTTTTTCTAAAATATTCCCACTAAATATGACATTGGCTAATTTCTCAAACATCTTTGCATACATCAATATATATAAAAAGAACGTTTTAAAAATTATAAGAAAAGCAATAAATGTACAACAGTAGCTAAATATATGTGTAACTATAATGACTGATAGAAATATATGTTGTATACACTTATCTACATTAATATATTATATACATAACTAAATTATGTATTTAAGGTATCCAAAAGCACTTTAGGTGCAGTGCTGTGAATCCACCCACTTTATGTCTGTACACTGCGGATACACATGGAGTATTTAAATGATTTAAAGGGAGCACAGTAAGCCAAAAGCATACCCACCTCCCTGTAACCACAGCGTATTCATTAACCTGGAGATTTCCCAAGCTTTCAAATTTAGGCTCAGGTGACTGAAGATGCTTGACAAAGATGAGCACATCCTTATACGTGAGCACGTTACCAGTTGTTTCTCCATCAGAAACCTCGAGCCAAGAATTATTGTGTTCTCTCATTCTTAATAAAAAAGGGCTGTCATCTTATGAACTTTTGCAGATCATATACACTGACAGTGAGAAGCTTCACTGATAATAAAATTTTATTTGACCTACAAAGCTTAACTGTTTTCATGAACTTTGGGGTCTCCCAGGACAAGAATTATGCAGAAGCCTAACAGGATTATTTAACACTGTTAATGTGAGAGACAGCTGAGGGGAAACAGGAAGGGATCAGGAAGGGAGGAACACGGGCTTATATTATGATTCTGTCGGTTATTAGACTTTGGGCAAAACACTACATAACCTTAATTTCAATTTTCTTTTCTCTGTGTTGCTAAACTTCAATGGACTAAAATAAAACGAAGTTTGAAATAATACACATAGACAACATTCATTATTGAGCACAGTAAAACATACTGACATGAATAGATTCAAGTTTCATGTTTCCCTCCAGCCCCTGGGCCTTTGCCCAAACTGGGTTCTTCCAGTGATGCTTACTGTTCCACTCCATCTGAACTATCATGGAGGCAACTTTCTCCAGCTTCCAGATTCCACCTCAAAGAAGACGCTTTCACCAGTTGCCTGATGCTGTAGCACACCTCAGACCACTTTCAACGTTCTTCTTAAGATCTCCCAATCTTCTTCGTGAAGATCCACAGTGTATCATTCTGCTTATTTCTGTCAGTATTGACTGATGTTTAATATTCTATTTAACAATGCTCTTTTCCTCTAAATTTCCACATCTGAAATCCTCATTTCTTGGAAGTTTCATCCTACCTATTGCCTTCCAACTGAAATAGTAGTCTTGAACTATTTCTTTACAACATCTCTCAAACTTGGTACATTTTCAATACCTTAAGAGTACATTTTCAACTACTTTTAGGTACCTAAAGTGCCTCCAATTTTAAGCTAAACAAGGGCAGGAACTTCGTAATCTACCCAGTTTAAAACTGAGAACACTGCCGGATACCTAACATGAACTCGGTAAATTCTGAATGAAAGCAATGTATATTTTGTTTCTTGTATATATTTTTCCAGAATTCACCATAAAAACATACTGCGATGCCTAATCTCTCATATTTTTCTAATAACTTTAGTATCCACATATATTATTGAGGAGCTTTTAGCAGTTCTATCTTTCTGAGATGGACAGGGGTTCATTGACTACTGTGTTTTCATACAAGTAAACTTTACAGGTCTACCTGGAAATAAAATTGTTGCCCATAATTTTGGTGCCACAATATTTTGAGAAACAAAGCATCACAGTAATATCTGCAGAACTGTTTCGAACAGGAAGAAGCTGATTTAAATTTGAACACGGTAAACTAGATGAAGGCAATGTGGCATAAAGTGATTTACATGTTTTACCCTGTTAAAGAATTACAAAACAGATTTCTTTTGACAGCAGAGACTTGTTGGAAACTTGATTGATGAATGTTACAACTATGGACTTCATTTTACCTTAAAACATTTTCAGAATTTTTGTAATGGTTTGTGTACAAAGTTACTTTTGTTCTAATCAAGGCATGCAGTTTATAAAATGAAAACAACTTTACCTCTCACAATCAGTTGAGCAAAATTGGACACACCAGAACCTCTTTCTGACTGTGTGACACACCGATACAAATCCTGGTCAGCTTTTGTCACTTCTTGCAATCTAAAAGAAGCAGCAAATCTTCTGTGATTGATGTTCTTAGTTTGGGCTACAGGTATATCTTCTCCATTTCGTCTCTGCAAATAGAAACCAATCTTTAAGAACAAGTCCTTAAACCTTTCCATAAATCTAAAGCATTTTAGCAGATAATCAGTGTCTGTGATAAATTATTCTTGTTGCTAAATTAGAAGGAAATGTCTCCTATAGATTTTTACCGTTGTTATTCCTTCTGGAAAAGGATGCAAGTAAGTACCAGCACTCTTTTAAGGGTATAGAACTGCCATTATGATACTAACCCCAGTTTTCCATACAGTTGCTATGCCAAGCTGTATGAATTAACAGGAAAGCAAATGATTGACTTCCGTCATGCTCCCAGAGAACGTATTTAGCTTCTGTTAAGCTTTCTGCATATATCCTGTGCTATACTGTTTCAGTCCACCACAGTCAAAAGTGAGGCCCAGAATTATCTGTATTCCTGTTATGTAGCAAGTATTTGCTCCAGAATGACACTATAATACTGACGAATAACTTTGAGTCACAAACTCTGTCCTCTTTGCAAGCTCCTATCTCTTTGGCATTAATGACAGCCAATTTATACATTCTAAAGAGGTAATCAAAAAAAGCCTAAATGTTAAAGGCATAGCTGTCAACTTTTAAAATGAAAAACTAAAAAACGTGTTTATGATAGCAGGGTGTTTCACACAAGACCAAGACGTGTAAACTATTAAAAAAAAGATTGAAAATTTTAACTGCATTAAAATTTATAACTTCTATATGATCAAAGACATCACAAATCAAATGAAAGGGGGCATAAACTGATATTTGTCAAAGATATAACTGTTGGAGGATAAATAGCTAGGCTATGTAAAGATTTTTACTAGTTCAACAAGGAAAAGATAAACAACCCATTTAAAAATGGACAGGCTATAAATGAAAAAATGTACACAACTAATAACCATGAAAGTAGATTGTCAATTTAAATTTTAAAAGTTCTATATTGCAGACAGACAAAGGGCAAAGACAAGCTCTGAGAAAAACTTGATTAGAGCATCCATCATTCCCTGTTGGTGAAATGCTAAGGATCACCGTTACCTTTTATAACTTATGTTATCATTTCATAGAAATAGACACGAGAAACCAAAAAAGTTGCTGTTGCTCATCTTAGCTGTTAGAGTGATATATGAAAATAACTTATTACTGTGTATAAAAGTTGGAAATACACAAACATCAGCACCCTGCAATTTTATTGCTGTATTCCTGTATTTGAATCACTATTTTATATGGGGTCAAAGAGGTACAGAGCAGGATACTGAAATTTGTATCAACTGTAATAGTTAAATACAAGGAAGGTCCAAATATCCTTGAGTTTTACTGTCTCAGTAAAATACAGTATAACAGTTCAACTAAGAAAATTCCAAGTACAGAAATCTAGTGTACTTATGAAACACAGGACAGCTAATTCTTCACCCAAAATTTACAGGGCTTATCCATAGCATCTGTCAGTTTCTGATGTTCAGCAGTCTCACTTGCACTCACCAAATGAAATCACTTCAACATGGTTTCATTTGGTTTTTAAAATTTCTATAAACTTCACAATTCTCTGGTACTCATGGGCTCTACTGTGTATGTATGTGTTTAAATCTCAAAGAAAAAACTTTCAACAAAAAAGTAGAAAACCTGGATGTAAAAAGACTATCTTAGAAATGTTTTTGATGATTTTCTGAGTATTACAGAAGAAGCTCTATCGCCTTCTTACTTGGTTGGTCTCTGCATTGCTAGGCCTCAAAGCCAAGGCCAAGCAATAAATACCTAAATGCTAAAATGCACTGTATCTTCAGTCATGTTCTTCCATGTTTGAAATTATATAAATGCATATTTTGCATAGGTTCATGCATGCAAATGCATGCATACATAACCCAAGGGAATAAAGTCCCAATAATCACGTCATTTCTTCAGTGTTCATTAATTCTTCTGTTCATGCCCAGCCATTCTACACCACTCCTGCTCACTCCTCTGAATAATGAGGAGAAAAAGTGGCGTATAGTCAAAAGTTCTGAAACATATTTCTGTAAAATCAGTGTAAATTTTCTTTCCCTACAAACCACATAAACAAGAACAATCATTATTAATGCAGTTTCGGTTACCACATCATCTCCAGATAAACGTCCTAATTAGATGGTGGTCCAGCCACGCCTGCGCATTCCTACACAGCCTTATCTAGCTTTCCTGTAACTTTGCCCCTTGGTTGCTCCACTAATTTTTCTCCAACAAGGTCACCTTTGTTTGTGTCCCTTATTTCTCAATTCTTCTGCAGGACGAGCCGACTGGCTGCTTGTAGTCGCTGTTAGTTTATTGGTTTTGCACCTGTTTACACTCGTGGAGTCTTTTAACACTATGCATTTTAAATCCCCTTCTGCTCTTGCAAAGACATTGCATACCCTCAGTTTGTCCCTCTCGTGTCACCTCTGCATCTTTTCACCTTATCTGCAAGTGGGTGCATTTTCTCTCAGTACAAGAGCTAAATGGAAGAGAATATATTACATTATATATTATTATATGCAGTATCTCTATGCTGACAATGGTGCTGTGTTATAAATATTAAGAACAAAATGCGATAAAGCAAATGAGTAATACAGGATATTCTAAATTTATCTTTACCTATACCACTGACAACCAAGCATGATAAATTGAGAAAAAAAATAGGAGAAGGTATAATGGAGAAAAGAGAAAGCAAAATATTTTTAGGCTTGAATTTTAAACATCAATATGAATTATTCAGTTATTTTTTGTCTTTAAATGTATGTGCATATATATGGAAGCTGTATTCACCAAAAGAGTCAAGGAATGAGTCCCACACTTAGCACTCTTATTATTGTCCTGGAATACAGCTTCTCACTGGAACCAGCAAGGTATTGTGGAATAAAGGCAGACTCTAAATGTGGGGAACATTCCACAATGCCAGGCAGCAAGGCAGCTCTCAGGCCCACTATGCCCATCCCAAAGGGTGTGAGGGGAAGCATGAAAACTCCCAGTCACTAAGGATGGAAGTTTTAAAGATCATAGCTATACGAGTAACTAAAGTCTGTAGAACACATTTAAATTCACTCGTTCCTAAGAATATTAAAAGGAAGAGAAGCAGTCATCTTTGGTGGATGATAGAAGATGAGGTCTCTAAACTGCAAATTACCAAAAAATCAAAGATTAGAGCATTTGTTCTTATTTTTTCTAACTTACTGCTTTAGAAGGCAACCACAGTCAGTGAAAGGAACTGTCTCCTTATCAACTAGACAAACATGAAAATGGAAACAACAACAAGAAAAATCATACCAAGAAGAAAGAGTGGTATGTCATACTTTTCAACCTCTGGAAAAGTCTTGGAAATAAACCATAAGCCATTTCCAACATCGCAAAAAGAAATATATATATTTTGCACCTCCCATAATTATGCCGATCATCAGTTAAGATGCTGTCAAAGAACAAAACTTGACCTTGGGTCTGACTGTCAATTTGCAGAAAATACAGAGGAAGGAAGAATTATGTGTCACTGAGAGAGACAGCAAGACATACTCAGCCAAAGAAGGAAACAGCCACCAAAGCCTGCCGTCCTTCGCAGATAACCTCAAATTAAGAAAGGGAAAGTGATCACAAATTATGAAACAAGGAACCCTATAGATTTCAAGAGCAATTTTTTTTTAAAGAACTAAAGTAGAGAGTCTCAGAATGCTTTTCTAGAAGTCCTGAGAGGCAGGGACACAGGTCAGTCGTCCCTGGCGTGCAGCCTGTGAGCAGCAAAGTCTGTGGCTTGGCCTGTGTAGCCCTTGCGTTCTGTAAATTCATGGAACCATGACAGGTTTTTATTTCGGGATAGTTTTCAATATCTATGTTTCATCATATAAAATTATTTTTAAGGTATCGCCTCTATTTATTAATCTGCTTTTCATCAGGAAGAAAGCAGGCCTTTGCCAGAGCTTCGTGCTACAGGCAGAATGACAGGAGCTCAGTGGGAAAGTTGCATGGTGCCTAGGTGCCTATTGTGACGCGTGTGGAAAACACACTAAAAGGGTCGGGTGACAACCTATCCGTGAGGACACCGTTCATGCGCAGAGAGTAGGGACAGTTATTTATAGTTATCGATGAGAAGAAATCTTTGAGCTCTATGACTGCCAAGCTTTTACAGACATGCTCTAGGGATAGATAAGGAACATGAGGTCTAATCCACATATTATTTGTTTGTAATTAAACATGTAACTGTAGGCATTATGTCCAGAGCTTATAAATTATTAAAGAGGGAAAAGAATGAATTGTGTCTGAACTCTTTATGCACAACACCGTAGAAAGCCAAACAAAATAACTTCAGGAACACTTAACAACCTAAAGTTTAAGTATGATTAAACTTTCTGATTCTCATTGTTACATACACACGTACATGCAAAATGCCAGAAGTTGCAAGATAAACCTGAAAATCCATGATCTATGGCCAGCATTTTAATTTCCAGACCTATCAGTAGAACACTTTATGAAAACCACAAAGGAAAAATATACACGAAGGAGAATAATCCAACTTCTCAAGGCAAAGCAGGCCTTACATGAGTGACAGCTATTAGCTACCAAATATAACATGGTCCCTTAAGTAGAGAGTAATTAATTACAAATCAGGATATACATGGAAAAATCATTACTGTTTAAATGGAGAATAAATAGAAAATTAGAAATTACATAGCAGACTGGCACTCATCTGTCGATTTAAGTCTAGTTCAAGGTGCAAGAAGCTAGAAATTAGAACACAAGAAACAAGGTCTGAACTCGTCTCACTCCTGTTCTGTGGCCGCAAGACAGGAATGAAACACCAACAATCGATATTTATTATTTTCAGTGATACAAGGACCTCCCAGAGGTTTTGGTCACAAGCTTCAGATTGCCTTAGCAAACTATAATAAAGGTCAAATGCAGCCAAAAGGAATTGGAATGCCCCATCCTGCACTCCTACTAAGGACCATTTAAATGCAATTATGAAGGTAGAAAGGAAAAAGGAACCAGCCCTGCTAGTGGGTCTGTCCCTGCTCCTTGCGAGACCCTC